AAAGGGTGGCTTGCCCACTTCAGGTAGGTGGAGAGATCCTTCCTCAAGTGGAGGAGTTTAAGTATCTTGGGGTTTTGTTCACAAGTGAGGGAAGGATGGAACAGGAGATTGACAGACAGATTGGTGCAGCTTCAGCAGTAAAGCGGTCGATGTACCGGTCTGTTGTGGTGAAGAAGGAGCTGAGCCGTAAGGCAAGACCTAGGACACGCTGGAGAGACTATGTCTCCCGGCTGGCCTGGGAACGCCTCGGTATCCCCCAGAAGAGCTGGAGGAATTGTCTAGGGAGAGGGAGGTCTGGGCATCTCTGCTTAGACTGCTGCCCCTGCGACCCGGCCCCAGATGAGCGGAAGAAGTTGGTATGGTAGGAAAGCCACACACCGGTCTATAAAAGACCTTACAGCTCACAGTGCATGTCAGAGCCAGTGAGAATCATGAGGTCAAAGGAACTGCCTGAAGAGCTCAGAGACAAAATTGTGGCAAGGCACAGATCTGGCCATGATTACAAAAAAAATTCTGCTGCACTTAAGGTTCCTAAGAGCACAGTGGCCTCCATAATCCTTAAATGGAAGACATTTGGGACGACCAGAACCCTTCCTAGAGCTGGCCGTCTGGCCAAACTGAGCTATTGGGGGAGAAGAGCCTTGGTGAGAGAGGTAAAGAAGAACCCAAAGATCATTGTGGCTGAGCTCCAGAGATGCAGTCGGAAGATGGGAGAAAGTTGTAGTAAGTCAACCATCACTGCAGCAATCCACCAGTCGGAGCTTTATGGCAGAGTGGCCAGACGGAAGCCTCTCCTCAGTGCAAGACACATGAAAGCCCTAATGTAGTTTGCTAAAAAACACCTGAAGGACTCCAAGATGGTGATACATAAGATCCTCTGGTCTGAGACCAAGATAGAACTTTTTTGCCTTAATTCTAAGCGGTATGTGTGGAGAAAACCAGTAACTGCTCATCACCTGTCCTATGGCCGTTCATGACGAGTACGACAAACTGCTTCCCGTTTTGAGCGTCTCTCTTCCAGAAATGACTTGTAAGCCTCCTGAGAGTCCCTGCGGCCATTGTTAATTGCTCTGTGCCATTTGGTTCTGTCATTTGCAAGTGCCTCCCAGTTGTCCAGGTTGATGGAGAAAGCCTGAAGATCCCTCTTAATGACGTCTTTAAAACGTAGATGGGGTGACCATGTTTGTGGGGGGCATTTGCAGCTCACCATAAAGCAAGATTTTTGGAAGGCGAATGTCATTCATTCGATATACACTCACCGGCCACTTTATTAGGTACACCTGTCCAACTGCTCGTTAACACTTAATTTCTAAGCAGCCAATCACATGGCGGCAACTCAGTGCATTTAGGCATGTAGACATGGTCAAGACAATCTCCTGCAGTTCAAACCGAGCATCAGTATGGGGAAGAAAGGTGATTTGAGTGACTTTGAACGTGGCATGATTGTTGGTGCCAGAAGGGCTGGTCTGAGTATTTCAGAAACTGCTAATCTACTGGGATTTTCACGCACAACCATCTCTAGGGTTTACAGAGAATGGTCAGAAAAAGAAAAAACATCCAGTGAGCGGCAGTTCTGTGGGCGGAAATGCCTTGTTGATGCCAGAGGTCAGAGGAGAATGGCCAGACTGGTTCAAGTTGATAGAAGGGCAACAGTGACTCAAATAACCACCCGTTACAACCAAGGTGGGCAGAAGAGCATCTCTGAACGCACAGTACGTCGAACTTTGAGGCAGATGGGCTACAGCAGCAGAAGACCACACCGGGTGCCACTCCTTTCAGCTAAGAACAGGAAACTGAGGCTACAATTTGCACAAGCTCATCGAAATTGGACCATAGAAGATTGGAAAAAACGTTGCCTGGTCTGATGAGTCTCGATTTCTGCTGCGACATTCGGATGGTAGGGTCAGAATTTGTCGTCTACAACATGAAAGCATGGATCCATCCTGCCTTGTATCAACGGTTCAGGCTGGTGGTGGTGGTGTCATGGTGTGGGGAATATTTTCTTGGCACTCTTTGGGCCCCTTGGTACCAATTGAGCATCGTTGCAACGCCACAGCCTACCTGAGTATTGTTGCTGACCATGTCCATCCCTTTATGACCACAATGTACCCAACTTCTGATGGCAGGATAATGCGCCATGTCATAAAGCTGGAATCATCTCAGACTGGTTTCTTGAACATGACAATGAGTTCGCTGTACTCAAATGGCCTCCACAGTCACCAGATCTCAATCCAATAGAGCATCTTTGGGATGTGGTGGAACAGGACATTCGCATCATGGATGTGCAGCCGACAAATCTGCGGCAACTGTGTGATGCCATCATGTCAATATGGACCAAACTCCCTGAGGAATGCTTCCAGCACCTTGTTGAATCTATGCCACGAAGAATTGAGGCAGTTCTGAAGGCAAAAGGGGGTCCAACCCGTTACTAGCATGGGGTACCTAATAAAGTGGCCGGTGAGTGTATATGCCTGTCCAACAGAGATGGCGTTCGCGAAGGATGGTGTACAGGTCACTAGAACCAGTTCTCTCAAGTATGGCAGAGTTTGGCAAATGATCCTTCCAGCATTCACCGACTATGGAACGAAGGCAGCGGAAATGGAAGGCGTTAAGGCAATGTTCGTGCCTCCTGTATGTTCTCTATGTCTCACTTGCATATAGTAAGGTGCTCAATACACATGCATGGTAAACACGGACTTTGGGGAGCAATGAGAGGTTCTTGTTGTGCCAGACACGCTTGCTCAATTTTCCAGACATTGATGATGCCTTCCCAATGTGTATGTCAAGCTCTACATCAAGGTTATTGTTGTTTGATACTGTGGAACCCAGGTAGGTGAATTTGTCTACCACAGAAAGACATGTGTTGTTAATGTATACTGTAGGGTTTAGGGTTGCAGGTTGGGCAAGAATAACTGTCTTGTTGAGACTAATCTGCAAACCAAACTCTAGACATGCAGCAGCAAAAGATGAGCAGAGTAGTTGTAGATCTGCCTCTGAGTGGGCAAGAAAGGCAGCATCATCAGCATAAAGCATAAAGAACATCAACAAAAACATCAGCATAAAGCAGCTCACGTACCAGAACATGGCGCACTTTAGTCTTCACCCGCAGTCTGGCCAGATTGAACAGTTTTCCTGAGCTGCGGGTATGTAGAAGGATACCCGAGTCATCAGGGAAGGCACGGCGTAGTAGGGCAGAGAAGAAAATTCTGAAAAGGGTAGAGCAAGGACAAATCCCTGCTTTACCCCACACCTTATCTGGAACTCGTCAGAGCGAGTGCCTTCAGGCTGTACAGTCACCTTCATGCCCTCATGAAACTCAATGATCACCTTTAGTAACTTTGGAGGGCAGCCAAGTCCATATCGACTAACGTAGTCAAAAGCCTTGGTCAAGTCTACAAACACCAGGAGTAGAGGCTTGTGCTGTTCAATACACTTTTCCTGTAGTTGACGGACACAGAAAACCATGTCTGCTATGGAGCGGCCAGCACGAAATCCTCACTGGCTTTCAGGAAGAATACGGTCAGCAAGGGTTTGTAGACGTGGTGGAATAGTGCGAGCAAGTATCTTGCCAGCAAGACTGAGTAGAGATATTCCTCTGAAGTTGTTACAGTCTGCACGGCTCCCCTTGTTTTTATAGATGTTGATGATGTTGGCATCTCTAAGGACATCTGGGAGAAATCCACTGTTCCAGCACATCACAACCAGATGATGTAGGACAGAGGCAAGAACATCACCGCCTCTGTCCTACATCACCTGTTCAATACAGTCACAACAGTGAAGCGTGGTGGAGGCAGCATCATGCTGTGGGGGTGTTTTTTAGCTGCAGGGACAGGACGACTGGTTGCAATCGAGGGAAAGATGAATGCGGCCAAGTACATGCATATCCTGGACGAAAACCTTTTCCAGAGTGCTCTGGGCCGAAGGTTCACCTTCCAACAAGACAATGACCCTAAGCACACCGCTAAAATAACGAAGGACTGGCTTCACAACAACTCCGTGGCTGTTCTTGAATGGCCCAGCCAGAGCCCTGACTAACCCAATTGAGCATCTCTGGAGAGACCTGAAAATGGCTGTCCACCAACGTTTACCATCCAACCTGATAGAACTGGAGAGGATCTGCAAGGAGGAATGGCAGAGGATACCCAAATCCAGATGTGAAAAACTTGTTGCATCTTTCCCAAAAAGACTCATGGCTGTATTAGATCAAAAGGGTGCTTCTACTAAATACTGAGCAAAGGGTCTGAATACTTAGGACCATGTGATATTCCAGTTTTTCTTTTTTAATAAATGTGAAAAAATGTCAGCAGTTCTGTGTTTTTCTGTCAATATGGGGTGCTGTGTGTACAATAATGAGGGGAAAAATGAACTTAAATGATTTTAGCAAATGGCTGCAATATAATAAAGAGTGAACAATTTAAGGGGGTCTGAATACTTTCTCTACCCACTGTATAATCAATTTATAAAAAGGCATCAAATTATCAAAGCAGTTGTCTACTTTCTACTTTTATATCAGGACTCACTTTCATGTCCTTTCACTGTATTTTTCTCTCTTTGAATTATATTTATGTACTGAAAATTGTTTTTAACAACTTTTTCCTTTCCTGTCAGACCTGATTGAAGAGAGCGAGGAGAGAGAAGAACTGAGTGAAGTGAAGGAGGAGAGAGAAGAACTGAGAGAAGTGAAGGAGGAGAGAGAAGAACTGATGGAAGTGAAGGAGGAGAGAGAAGAACTGCGAGAAGTGAAGGAGGAGAGAGAAGAACTGAGAGAAGTGAAGGAGGAGAGAGAAGAACTGAGAGAAGTGGAGGAGGAGAGAGAAGAACTGATGGAAGTGAAGGAGGAGAGAGAAGAACTGAGAGAAGTGAAGGAGGAGAGACAACTGAGAGAAGTGAAGGAGGAGAGAGAAGAACTGAGAGAAGTGGAGGAGAAGAGAGAAGAACTGATGGAAGTGAAGGAGGAGAGAGAAGAACTGAGAGAAGTGAAGGAGGAGAGAGAAGAACTGAGAGAAGTGAAGGAGGAGAGAGAAGAACTGAGAGAAGTGAAGGAGGAGAGAGAAGAACTGAGTGAAGTGAAGGAGGAACATCATGTCCAACCTGGAGGAAAACCCTTGAGTCGCTTAAAGACTACAGCGGACCATTTAAAACTGCACGAGAGAATTCACACTGGAGAAAAACCTTACGAGTGTTCACACTGCGACAAGAGATTCAGTCACTCATCAACTCTGAAAACACATGAGAGGATCCACACTGGAGAAAAACCTTACAAGTGTTCACACTGCGACAAGAGATTCAGTCACTCATCATCTCTGAAAATACATGACAGGATCCACACTGGAGAAAAACCTTACAAGTGTTCACACTGTGACAAGACATTCAATCAATCAAATCTGAAAACACATGAGAGGATTCACACTGGAGAAAAACCTTACAAGTGTTCACACTGCAACAAGAGATTCAGTCACTCATCATCTCTGAAAATACATGACAGGATCCACACTGGAGAAAAACCTTACAAGTGTTCACACTGTGACAAGACATTCAATCAATCATCATCTCTGAAATCACATGAGATGATCCACACTGGAGAAAAACCTTACAAGTGTTCACACTGTGACAAGACATTCATTCAATCATCATCTCTGAAAACACATGAGAGGATCCACACTGGAGAAAAACCTTACAAGTGTTCCCACTGTGACAAGAGATTCAGTCACTTATCATATCTGAAAACACATGAGAGAATCCACACTGGAGAACAACCTTACAAGTGTTCACACTGTGACAAGAGATTCAATCACTCATCATATCTGAAATCACATGAGAGGATCCACACTGGAGAAAAACCTTACACATGTTCACACTGTGACAACAGATTCAGTCACTCATCACATCTGAAAAGACATGAGAGGATTCACACTGGAGAACAACCTTACAAATGTTCACACTGTGAGAAGAGATTCAGTCACTCATCATATCTGAAATCACATGAGAGGATCCACACTGGAGAAAAACCTTACAAGTGTTCACACTGTGACAAGACATTCAGTCACTCATCATCTCTGAAAACACATGAGTGGATTCACATTGGAGAGAAGCCGCATGTATGCCATTTAATCTTGAAACAATTTCACATACAAATATTATCTTGATGTTCACATGTACCCCTTTTCCACCAAAAAAAGAACTGGTTCGGAACTGGTGCTGGTTCAAAGTTGGTTCGGAGTTGGTTCAACTTGCGAACCGCTTCAGAACCTATTTGTTTTTCCACTGAGAGTGCCCAGGGAACGACGTCGTTACGTCACTGTGTACGTCGCTATACGTCTTAGCTAGAAACGCTTGCAAGTACAACATTACTTTCGGATTATCTCTAACTCGTGTACCAAGAAAGCTTTAAAAACAATGAAAATATGTAAGTCTTTTAATCTTTTCGTTTGATATGTAATCTTTTCTGATAAGTTATGAAGCCCTCTGTCTTGTGTCTTCTTTTCTTTCCATTTATTTGTTCTATATTGTGACTGTTTTCTTCTTTGATTATAATGTCTTCAATAAAAAAATTACAAAAATAGAAACGCACTTGGCTGTGCGATCCTTTATTATGGTCAGAAAATATGTTAAAGCAGCGCTCAGTAAGACTGGAAACTTCTTTGCTGTTTTCTCGCAGGTTTCTCTCTCGAGCTCCCCCTACAGTTTCGGAGTATATATACGAGAAAACTGTCGTAAACTCGTTGTCAACTCCCCCTCCCATCTCGTTCAGGCAGGTCATGTGAATTTGTTTTCAGAGAAGCCGGCGAACAAACGGATTTTGTCCGTCCCCACCACTTTTGAAACATCTCGCGGCACAGATGTACCAATGCAATTAAAACATCTCCAGTTAACAGCATTCGTTTTATTTGTTTGTTAAATAACAGGCGATCTAGCACTGAAATGTGTTGGCTTCTCTCAGAAACGCGCTTCAATCCGTTGCGGAGATTCTTTCCGGTGAAATCACAAATCAAAATGCACACAAACGTGTCCCTTTTTCTCATGGTTTCTAATTCCTCTCTCGTATATTTTTCCCCATTCATCAAAACATATAAAACAACTGATAAACATTATATCAATTCAACCACTGATAAACATTATTGGTTTTGATGAGGGGGAAATAAAAACTATTCGAGTGCGGAATTCTACCTCTGGACGGACCATCACTGTACATATCAAGGGCGTATATTTTCTATATACCCACTATACTCGGACATTGTGCTCATTTTTATTTATGTGCATCAGGAAGAGAAAAGAAAAAGAGACCTACTCGAAAGAGAAAAAAAGAATGAATGCGTTACCCAGCACTTTTGAAAATGCCCTTCCGAACGCATCTCTGTCCCCTGCACATTTCAAACCAAACTGACGCCCGAGCCATATCCACTGAGGTATGATTCTCAGAACAATATTATTCAAATGTTGAGATAGTGTATATTTTTATTGTGTTACCAAACGTTATCAGTAACATTATGGTTAAAAATCAATAATACTATAAGAAAAATTTCCGCTATTTATTTATTTTTAGTTTAGCCTACAGCTATAGCTACTTTGATTATGCATTATCAAAATACATTTTACATTACATTCATCATTTTTCTGGTGATCCGAGTTGTCTATCGTAATGATTGACCAAAGAAAGTCAAACACGTTTAATTTGTTTATTGCAAGTTTGTTTATTTTATTATTGAAGCTTGAGACCGGTGGTACAGGTGGTCTGGGGTGCCTCGGAGTTGATAACACTTGCCAACGCTTGTAGCTAAAAAGGAAAAAGAAAATGTATCAATCTTTTATCAACATATCATTTATACACAAGGTCAAACTAGCACAGATGGAGTTGCATGTGTGAAGTTGCAATGCAATTTCTCGTTTACTTATAGTTCTGTTTGTGTAAATGTGGGTAAATAAATATAAAAAAGTTGCATTATTAGCTAGCAGCTCTCGTGTCGGTTTATGCATTATATATCAAGTCAGCAGCACAGTATAACGTTACTAATTCTGAGGCTGACGACAAGCTAAACTAATGCATAATTTGTAGAATTTCATATCGATTTATAGGCGATCTGAGAAACACAAATAAACCCTGATAGAGGAACGGACAAAACACTTACTTACAGAAAACAAGCAAGTTTGTTTGCTAATGAAAATGCTAACATCTAAGTTACAGTATCTAACGTACTAGTAAGCCGGTAACAGACAGCGAGCATAATATTAAAAAAAACAGACAATAGCAAACATCCCGACTCCCGAGGTCACAATTACAAGAAATACAAACATTAAACACAGTTTATTATAAAGATACTTACAAGTGCAACAGCAAGAAGGCCAGGTCAGCATCGGTTTTGCAGGCTTCGCTTTATTTCAGTTCTCTCTATTCTGAAAAAGCCGGTCCGTTTTCTCTTTCTTTGTTTCTCTGATAAACACTTCCGAGCTTTCTTCTTCTTCTTTTACATCAGCCATCACGAAAACTTGAAGAATTCAATATCTAGCGTTACCTTTTTCTTATAGCTAGCCGGCTCCTGGATGGCCGGGGGCGTGTACGCATGCGTGTGCGCGTATAGTGCCGTAAAGCAATTCGTTACCTCGCGAGACCTGAAATCTCACGATACTTCCTAACACTGAGGCCGGCGAGCCGCCGGCCCAAAGTTGCAAGGGTGGTTTTGCGGCTCACAGGCACCAGGGGGGTGCGAGATGATCACCATTCAACACGAAATCAGTAATATTAACATTACAATGACTCCAAAGCTGTTCAGTTAAGGTAAAAAAAGTTACTTAGTTCTGCTTTAAGAACACATCTAAACCCGCCCCAGCCCCCGACGTAAGCATGACGTGGTAAAAGAACGGTTCTAGTCCAGCAAAAAGTTGGTGCCGCTTTGGAACCAGTTCTCCTGGCCGAGAACCGGTTCTTTGGCTGTCGAAACACAAAGAACTGGTTCGCGCGCAGGCACCGGCTCCGAACCGGCTCTCAAAATGCTTTGGTGGAAAAGGGTTCATCTTCAACCCTCTTCAACATGTCTCTTCGAGATCTCCTTTTCAGTCCATTTAGTTTAGTTTTCTTTTGTTTTCCCGTTTCGTATTCTACTTTGTTCATTTCCACAGACGGGTGAAATGAACTTAGCCTGAATTCAAGGGACCTTTAAATCCGCAGTGTCTCCATACACCGGAAGAACCACGGAGAAGGACACCACAACCACGCGCCTTCCTTGCTCAGCAACATAAGAGAACCATTTGTGCTAGTATTCGTTTTATCGAGCATTTAAGATTTGTTCACTCCATTTAGCGTGATTTGATATCTTGGTGTCTCTATCTCAAGGTTCCTTTTTCTGTGATTTTGCCATACTGTTGACCACTTTCTACCTCTTATCTCTCATTTTCTTTCATTGTTTTGTTGCTTTAATCTGTTTTATATACATTAGAGATGGGACGATTACAGGTTTCACTATAAACCACGATAAAATGTACTGACGATTAGTATTATCGTTAAAAATGTAATTATCATTAAAATTGTGTTTGATTATCGTGATTTTAATAACTCACTATAAATCATGTCGACAGTCTGATGCAGGCACGCAGTTTTTTTTTTTTTTTTTCGAGAAGGAATGGCGGAAGGCAGTGACTGTGCTCGGGAAATTTTTCAGCCTTTTAAGAGGACCAAATCTGAGGTGTGGTCATATTTAGGTTTTTACAAAAGTCCAAAAAACTTAATCGAGGATGGTCACCCTGTCTGCAGAACATGCACAAAAAAGTCGCTGTAATAGAAACACTTCAAATCTCCCGATCGTCTTGAGTAACCATCACCCTCTGTTGTAACTTATAGTGAACGCAAGGCAAGTTAACTTTGACCCCTATACCAAAAATACGTCTGGGGGAAAAAATGGGCACAAAATGTTATTATGAGATAAAATATTTTATCTCACTCACTTGAAATAGACGTGAAGCTTCTGCGAAGAAAAGATTGCAGGAAGTGGCTTTGAGCCAAAGACGAACGAACACGTTCAATTAAGAGTGACATTTAAGAGATAATAATGCAACTTTATATATTTCTTATACCGTATTTTCCGCACTTTAAGGCGCACCGGATTATAAGGCGCACCTTCAATGAATGACCTATTTTAGAACATTTTTCATATATAGGGCGCACCGGATTATAAGGCGCATAAGATACTGCAGTCAAACGTTTGACTGGGTTTGCGTTATGCATCCACTAGATGTGCTAAAGGGAATGTAGCGAGTCCGCGGCAGTTTTCCAATTTTTGTTTATTTTTTCTTTAATTCCATGGCAGCTTATTTTAATGTAATAATGTGAATATGCCTTGTGTCATTGAATAATAAAAAGCTGCTTTGAACCAATATATTCAGAGCCCCCCTGGTCCCACTTTGGCAAAAAAATTAGTTATAGCTATCTTGTGGCCTCAAGATAGTAACTCGTGGCCTCAAGATAGTAACTCGTGGCCTCAAGATACTAACTCGTGTAGGGCTGTCGCGGTTATGGAATTTCCCTCGTGGTAATGTTGAGTGGCTCAATAGGGCGTTATGCGGTATTACCGCCATTTATTTATTTAATTTATATGTTTTTGTTGCTATATAAATAAAGTTTACAATGTGGACAAAAACGAGGACATTTTCAGTAACCAATGTAACCGAAACTAAACAGCGTCTACAGTATATGTGCATTGAAAGACTTTTACTCAGCGTGCATATTGTTATAACAACGGACTTTGAGCGAGTCATTGAACCGTTCATTCAACGAACACGTTTAAAAAAGCTGATTCATTAAAAGAGATGTAAAAAACAAGATGTTAATTATTTTTAACATTAATTTAAAAGAGACCCATAGCATTGATTCAATACGTGACTCACTGATTTTATTTGCCCTCGGCTTCTTTGTGCTTTGGGATGTTGACCAGCGCTGACGCGAATTTATGGGGAAAATACCCGTGAAGAGAACGTTAAAATGATGATGCAACAAATATTTCGCTTCCCTTTGACACGACAAGCTTTTCACGACTTCAAAGACAGACGCAGGTAATTGCACGCGCTCTGCCGATCTCTCTCATTCACTGTCTCTGTGTGAAGCCTGTAGGCTACACATCACCATGATAAACAGTCTTGTTATCATTATAAACTTGTTTAACATTCAATACACATGCATTAAGTTCAAAACAAGTGAATATCGCGGTTGCTGCGGTTACGTGCAATCCTCTGTGGTTGACATG